AACGTTCAATGTGTCTTTATAGCAGCCTGGACTTATAATCTTTGGGTATATCCCCCCATAAATGGGACTGCTGGGCAATGGTATTTCTAGTTCTATGATCCTTGAGGAATGCCAGTGTTTTCACAGATGGTTTGACTAGTTCGATCCATCCCACCAATCGTGTAAAGAGTGTTTTCTATTTCTCCCACATCCTCATCCAGCACCCTGTGGTTCCTATTTTTTAATGATTGCCCATTCCTAACTGGTGGTCGAGACGGGTTCTCTTGTGGTTTTGATTTGCATTTCTCTGGTGGTTGAGTGATGATGAGCGGTTTTTCATGTATCCTGTTGGCTGTATGAATGTCTTCTTCTCGCAGCAAGTGTCTGTTCCTATCCGTTTGTCCACTTTTTGAGTGAGGTTGTTTTCTTGTAAATTTTGATTGAGTTCCTTTATAGGTTCTGGATATTAACCCTTTGTCAGATGAGTAGTGATTGCAAAAATTTCTCCATTCTGTAGGTTGCCTGTTTCACTCTGGTGGTAGTTTCTTTTGCTGTTGCAGAAAGCTCTTTAGTTTGATTAGATCCATCTTTCATTTTGGCTTTTTGTTGCCATTGCTTTTGGTGTTTTAGACATGAAGTCCTTTGCCATGCTATGTCCTGAAATGGTATTACCCTAGGTTTTCTTCTAGGTTTTATGGTTTTTAAGGTCTAAAACATCTTAAGTCTCTAATGCCATCTTGAATTAAATTTTCATATAAAGGAGTAAGGAGAACGGATCCCAGTTTCAGCTTTCTACTTAGGGCCCAGCCATTTCCACGCACCATTTATAACAAGGGAATCCTTCTCTCTCTCCTCTGTCCCGCCCCCGTCTCTGTCCAAAAATCAGATAGGCTATAGATCTTGAGGCTACATATTTCTGACGGGCACTGTCCTGTTCAACTCTGTCCTACTATCTCTGTTTTGGTACCAGCGTACCATGCTCCTTCTCTGGTTTACCCTGGTAGCCCTTGTAGTTCCACGTTTGAAGTCCAGGTAGCATCATGCTTCCCAGCCTTCTCGTCCTTTTGGCCTTAGGATTGCTCCCCTTGGCCAATCGCCACCCCGCCGGTGCTTTTCTTGGTCTTTCTTTGTGCATATCGAACTTTAAAGCAGCTTTTTTCCAACTCCTGTGAAGAAAAGTTCAGTTGGTAGCTTAATGGGGAATCTTCTCCATCCATTCTTTTTTCAAGGTTTTTAGTTTCTTTGCGCTGGTTATGTAGTTCCTCCTTTAGCTCTGAGAAGTTTGATCGACTGAAGCCTTCTTCTCCCAACTTGTCAAAATCATTCTCCGTCCAGCTTTGTTCCGTTGCTGGTGATGAGCTACGTTCCTTTGAAGGGGGAGATGTGCTCTGATTTTTTGAACTTCCAGCTTTTCTGCACTGCTTTTTCCCCATCTTTGTGGTTTTATCTGCCTTTGGTCTTTGATGATGGTGTGGGTGTCCTTTTTGTTTGTTAGTTTTCCTTCTAACAGTCAGGACCCTCAGCTGTAGGTCTGTTGGAGTTTGCTTGAGGTCCACTCCAGACCCTGTTTGCCTGGGTATCAGCAGCAGAGGCTGCAGAAGATAGAATATTGCTGAACACCGAGTGTTGCTGTCTGTCTGATTCTTACTCTGGAAGCTTCGTCTCAGAGATGTACCCAGCTGTGTGAGGTGTGAGGTGTGAGGTGTTGGTCTGCACCTAGTTGGGGATGTCCCACAGTTAGGCTGCTCAGGGGTCAGGGACCCACTTGAGCAGGCAGTCTGTCCATTCTCAGATATCAACCTCCATGCTGGGAGAACCACTGCTCAACCTCTATGCTGGGAGAACCACTACTCTCTTCAGAGCTGTCAGACAGGGACTTCACATCTGCAGAGGTTTCTGCTGCTTTTTGTTTAGCTATGCCCTGTCCCCAGAGGTGGAGTCTACAGAGGCAGGCAGGCCTCCTTGAGCTGTGGTGGGCTCCACCCAATTCCAGCTTCCCAGCAGCTTTGTTTATCTACTTAAGCCTCAGCAGTGGTGGGCGCCCCTCCCCCAGCCTCGCTGCAGCCTTGCAGTTAGATCTCAGACTGCTGTGCTAGCAATGAGGGAGGCTCTGTGGGCGTGGGACCCTCCGGGCCAGGTGTGGGATATAATGTGGTGTGCGGTTTGCTAAGACCCTTGGTAAAGCACAGTATTAGGGTGGGAGTTACCCGATTTTCCAGGTGTTGTCTTAGTTTCCCTTGGCTAGGAAAAGGAATTCCCTTCTCCCTTGCACTTCCCAGGTGAGGCGATGCCTTGCCCTGCTTCAGCTCTTGCTGGTTGGGCTGCACCTGCTGACCAGCACTGACTGTCTGACACGCCCCAGTGAGATGAACCTGGTACCTCAGGTGAAAATGCAGAAATCACCCGTTGTCTGTGTTGCTCACGCTGGGAGCTGGAGGCTGGAGCTGTTCCTATTCAGCCATCTTGGGCGCCCCCAGCAATACATTTTTTAATCAAACATTTTGTTAAGCATAGCAAATAATCAAGAATGGTAAGTAGATGTTCTAACACAGCAAGCTTGTGCTCCACAGTAATCTATTAGACTTCCTAATTTAGTGAAATATCTTAGTCTAGCACTATTTCTACTACCATGTTAGGACTAATGATAGTAACCTACATAGTTCCCTTATCTTTTCTCTCTTCTTAAATGAATCTGTCTCTTTTATTCTCTAACTCTGGAATTCTAAATAGAGCAGCTTCATGTAACTTCTAAGTTCCATAGCATTGTTTGTAAAGTAGTTTGTGTATGTGCATTTTTATTGGAAGAAAATAGTTATAAGATTCTCACAGGGCCTTATTATCTAGCCCCCCCCCCACCTCCATAAAACTTGAAGAACATTAATATATCTCCTTTATTTTTTTCTTCTTCTGTCAAAATAATTTTCCCATGAAAAATGATAGCTAGCATGTAGTACACATTCACTACATGCTAAGTATTGTTTAAGTGCTTTGCATTTTTATCCTTTTAAACTTCATTATAGGCCAGGCGCGGTGGCTCATGCCTGTAATCCCAGCATTTTGGCAGGCCGAGGCAGGCAGATCATGAGTTCAGGAGATCGAGACCATCCTGGCTAACACGGTGAAACCCCACCTCTACTAAAAATACAGAAATTAGCTGGGCGTCTGTAATCCCAGCTACTCAGGAGGCTGAGGCAGGAGAATGGTGGGAACCCGGGAGGCGGAGCTTGCAGTGAGCCGAGATCGCACCACTGCACTCCAGCCTGGGAGACAGAGCGAGACTCTGTCTCTAAAAATAATAAAATAATAATAATAATAAACTTCATTATAACTGAGAGGTAGCTGTTATCATTTTCCAGACAAGGAAGCAGGCGCACAGAGATGAGGTAACTTAAGATTCACACCTTGTAAGTAAAAGCAGGCAGAATTTGAAAACATTTAGTTTGAACCCTGACCCTACACTACTAACATCTGGACCCAGGCTACGCTGTTTTTTGCCACACAAAAGCATTTTTTGAGAAATATAGGTAATTTTCTAGTATTAAATCTGTAAAAACTACTATAATATTGCTTACTGTACTCACTTTGATCTCAATCTATCAAAACTCCACTAGAGACATTTCTTATAATAATATGGTGATCTATTTATTGGTAGTTGGATATACATAATGGGATAGCAAAAAATTAAAACATCTTAAGCATTAATCAATGAGAAATTGGCTAAATTATGGTTTATTCATACAATGGAATACTCTGTAGTAAAGAATAGAAAGTTTTCTATATTGTTACATAGAAAGAGCTCAGAGATGAATAACTAAAGGTAAGGCATAAATTCAGATAGGGGAGAAATAGTGGTATTTATATTGCTTATATATGTGTAAGATATTCTGGAAAGATACATAAATTACGTCTAGTCGTAGAAGTTGGGGTAGTGAATGTAAGATTTGGAGAAGATGGTGAAGAGACTTTTTTGCTAATGATATATTTTTTTACTTTTGATTTTTAAACAGCATAGATACATTATTGCAACAATTAAATTTACAGAAAATAAAAAATGTATTTTGGGGGGAATAAGTAATGTTTTCACATTTTTCAACATTCAAACAGTGCAAAAAGATTATGAAAAAATTTCCCTTTTACCCCTTTCCCTAGCCACTCAGTAGTTGCTATCAATCACTATCCATTTTCTTTTTATTATTCCATAGACATTTTATGCCTATACAAATTCATGGGTGTGAAGGTATATATTTTTTTCTTTTAGCTCCCTTTTTGCACACTGTTCTACACCTTGCATTTTTCTGCTATTAATATATCTTGGAGACCATTTCATATTCAGTACATGAAGATCTTCCTCATTCTGTTTCACAGCTTCAGAGCATTTCATTATATGATATATTGAGTGTATTTAATCAGTCCACTGTTAATAAACATTGGGATTATTTCTAATCCTTTGCCATTGATAAATGATACCACAGTGAATAATAGTACATATATGTTATTTTGCATTTTTTCAATTATATTTTTAGGATAAATTCTTAGGAGTGATTTGCTGTGTCAACAGTTGCATACATTTATAGTTTTAATGGTTATTGTAAAACTGCCCTTCATTGAGTTTTACCAATTTATGTGAATACCAGTAATGTGTAAGTTACCCTATTATAAGTTACTTTGTGTTATAAAACTATTTGATCTTTGCTTTGAGCTCTTTTGTCTGGGTACAAAAGATCACTCAGTGTAGCAACTCAGTGTAGTTTTAATTTCTCCTGATGTTGAGCATTTTCCATAGTTGAGCCATTTGTGTTTTTTTTTTTTACTGTTATTAAAACTTTATTTTTCTATGGAATCAAGCACTAGCTACCAGTTACAGTTAGTTTTATTGTGCCTTCCAAACGCACAGTTAGCTTTGCTTTATCAATAACCAAATAATAAACTAGGTCCCAATGGTTATGTCCACATCTAGACTGTTCAGGTGATCAGGAACTCTTTTTATTTGTGTGCTTTAGCTTTTAGTTCTTGGTTATATCTCCAAATACGAAAAAGCTGAGAGGCTCCTGCTGTCCCCACAAAGAAATTAACAGCAAACAGATTCCAATTTTTTGGAATAATTACAAGTGAGTATCTTGACCAAATAAACCCTGTAGCCATCAAAACAGCAGATTGAGCTGTGCTAAGTTTTTCTGCAGGTCTGGCCATATCAGCCAATCCAGCACACACCAACCCCCATTTCATAATTGGAGCCCAGAAAAAAATTGTTCTGGGACCTGCTGGATGGTTGTACAACGGCCTCAATTTCTCGGGCAGCATCAGCTCCACTTTATCGAGGAGCTGGTGGTAGGTGGCCCGCAGGCCTCGGGCACCGGAGGCCGACATCGCCGCCGACGGATCGTGAGCAGCCAGGTGGGAGCGTGGCTCGATTCTCGTCCCCAGCTGACAACGAAGTGGAGCTAGTCCCTTTTCCTTGCCACGACGCCTGGCGTCCGCCTCTTGCTTGGAGAGCCCTTCCCGTGGCTCTCCCTGCCCCGCTGTGAACCAAAAAGCTGAGGTCCGCTGCCCGCGCCCGGCGCCCCGCGAAGGTTGAGGGAGCGGAGGCTGCCAACGGCCCGCCCCTGGCCCGCTCCTGGTCCGCAGCCCGCCCCGTGAAGGAGAGAGGGAGGAGGAGCCTTGGCAACAGGTGTCAAAACAATCACCTCACCGAGTCCACCCAGCGCCCTACTGGCAGCGAGCTTACGCAGGCTGAGTTGCCCGCCAGGATTGGCTCGCCCCGAGGCGTGGGCGGGGTCGAGCGGAAACCTCCTCTTTCTCTCCCCTCCCCCCACCCCGCACTCGAGGCCATGTTAGAGAAGGGAAAGTAAAGCTGCGCTGGTTCTTCTGCTCCTTAACTTTGATTAAGCAGACCTGTAGTTAAAATGGGCTTTTCGGGCCTTCAGTGCCTAAAGATGATGCTGCACCATTCTCTTCTTTTGACTGGAGGCTCGTGAGCGAGAGACTACAGAATTGAGTCGCTTCTCTCTCTACCCCTCTTTTATCCCTAGCGACTTAAGAATCTGGTTAGAGTGGCCCGAATGCCTTCTTCCAGGGTGAGAGCAGCCGCGCGGCACACACCAGCCTCAGTCCCCAGGGTGACCGTCATCTTGCGAGAAAAAGCCCATTTGTATTTTCTTTACTATGACACGCTTGTTATATAATACGTGTTTTGAAAATATTCGATTTTTTAAAAAGCCATCACCTCATGGGTTTTTCTTTGTTTAGAATAATCTGTCACCTTTGTCCAAGTCAAAAACTGAGAAAATTTTATTTTATAAATGTTTCTTGCAGTAGGTTTTTTTCATCTTAGTGACCAACATTTGGACTTAAGGTCTGCTTCATAGGAGAGGCCAAGTAATACTGAAATATATCCTATGAGGTCTAGGGGAAAAAGTGTATTTATGTAGATCTTTGTTAATTTTTATTCATTGTTGGGTTTCCTATCATAAGCTGGAAAAATGTTGCTATTTTTCTACCATTGGCAGTTCCCATCTTCCCAAGTTATTTTGTGCATTACATGTAACAAATTCCCTCTCTCAATAGAGCAAGAAGATACAAAAATTGTAAACATACATGCACAAAATAACAGTGCTCCAAATTACATAAATAAATGACAGAATTGAAGGAAGAAATAGACAAATCTATAGTTATAGCTGGAGACTTCAATGTGCCTTCTTAGTAATCAATAACAAGTAGAGAGCAAATCAACTAGGATAAAAGAGACCTGAACAACACTATTATGACATAACTACATCTATAACTTCTCCAACAAACAGTAGAATATATATTATATACAACTACACATGGAATATCATTCATTAGAATAAACCATATGTCAAGTCGTAAAGTATCAATTTTCAAAGAAGTTATAGAGCATTTTTTGACCACACAGAATTAAATTAGAAATTAATAACAGAAAATCATCAAATCTGTGATAAGCATCATAATTCTAAGTAATTTGTGGATCAAAGCAGAAATCACAAGGAAATTAGAAAAGATCTTTTTTCCTTTTTTTTGAGACAGCGTTTCCCTCTGTTGCCCAGGCTCAAGTGCAGTGGTGTGATCTCAGCTGACTGCAACCTCTGCTGCCTGGGTTCAAGCAATTCTCCTCCCTCAGAGTCCTGAATAGCTGGGATTACAGGTGCCCAACACCATGCCTGGCTAATTTTTTTATTTTTAGTAGAGATGGGGTTTCACCACGTTGGGCAGGCTGGTCTTGAACTCCTGACCTCAAGTGACCCACCCACCTTGACCTCCCAAAGTGCTGGGATTACAGGCATGAGCCACCTCACCCAGCCTAGAAAATATTTTTAACTGAGTAAAAATGTAAACACAATATACTGCAATTGTGGGATCCAGCTAAAGCAGTTCTTAGAGGGATATTTGTCACTTCAAATACTTTTTTTAAAAAAAGAAGGGCCAGGTACAGTGGCTCACACCTGTAATCCCAGCATTTTGGGAGGCCGAGGAGTTTGAGACCAGCCTGGCCAATATGGTAAAACCCTGTTTCTACTAAAAATACAAACATTAGCTGGGCATGGTGGTGCGCACCTGTAGTCCCAGCTACTCAGGAGGCTAAGGCAGGATAATCACGTGAACTTGGGAGGCGGAGGTTGCAGTGAACAGAGATTGCACCACTGCACTCCAGCCTGGGCGACAGCGAGACTCTGTCTCAATAAATACATACATACATACATAAATACATAAAAATTAAAAAGAAATATCTAAATCATTATCTAAGTTTCTACCATATGAAGCTAGAAATAGAGCAAATTAGACCTAAAGCAAGTACAAGAAAGGAAATAATAAAAATCAGAACAGAAATCAATGAAGTTGTAATGGCAAAACAGTAGAGAAGATGAATGAGTCCAAAATCTGGTTCTTTGCAAAAGTCTGTAAAATGGATAAACCTAGATGACAGGAGCTCAGCTGAACTGGAAGAGAGCTGATTGATAAGAAAAAAAAAGGAGGTGGTACAACTTACCAATATCAGGAATGAAAGAGAAGAAGACATCCATATTGAACCATAAGAGAATATATGGATAACATTTGCCAATAAATTTGACAACTTAGATAAAATGGATAAATCTCTTGAAAGATATAAATTACTAAAACTGACTCAAGAAGAAATAGAAAATCTGAATATATGTATACCAAGAAAATTTAATTTAGTTATCAAACTTACATAATTGTTACTCATCCAGAAAAGAAACATCAAGAACTTTATACCAACAAAGATAACATTGTGGTAAACTCTATGAGACATTTAAGGAAGAAATTGTACCAATACTCTTGAACCTATCTCAGAAAATAAAGGAAGAAGGAACACTTCTGAACTCAATTTATGAGGCCAGTTTTATCCTGATAGTTGAACCAGGCGTTATGAAAAAAACTACAAACCCATGTCTCCCATGAACATAGAAGCAAAAGCCTTCACAAAATATTAGCAATAGAAAGGATAATACACTATAACCAAATGGGTATTTTTCTTTTAGCTTTATTGAGGTACAAGAAATATTTGAGTTATAAATATTAAGGACAAGTAAAAATTATATATATTTATCATATACAATGTGTAATGTTTTGATATATGTATACATTGTATATGATGACCACAATCAGGCTAATTAACATATCCATCATCTCACATAGTTATGTTTTCTGATGAGAACATTTAAGATCTACTCTGTTAGCAAATTTCAAGTATACAATACAGTATTATTAAATATAGTCACCATGCTATACATTACCTCTCCAGAACTTATTCATCTTATAACAGACTTTGTATCCTTTGACCAACATCTCCCCATTTCTCCCAGACCCTGGTAACCACCATTCTACTCTGCTTCTACTTTTTAAGATTCCAGTATGAGATCATGCAGTGTTTGTCTCTCTGTGACTGGCTTATTTCATTTAACATAATGTCCTTCAGATTCATTAATGTTGTGACAAATGACAGCATTTCCTTCTTTTCTTAGGTTGAGTAATATTTCATGTGTATACAGTCATCCCTCGCTATCTGTAGGGGATTTGTTCCAGGAACCTCCCCGCAGATACTAAAAGCCTTAGATGTTCAAGTCCCTTACATAAAATAGTGTAGTATTTGCTTATAACATATGCACACACTCCCATATATTTTAAATCATCTGTACCCTAGATTACTTATAATACCTAATATAATATAAATGCTTTACAAATAATTATATTGTATTATTTGTATTTTATTTTTTAAATATTTTTGATGTATGGCTGGTTGTGGAACTCATGAATACAGAGGGCTATTTCTTTATTCACTCATCCATCAATGGACACTTAGGTTCATTAACATCTTTGCTATTGTAAGTAATGCTGCATTGAACATGAGCATGACCAAATGGGTTTATCCTGGAATGCACAGTTGGTTTGACAACAAAAGTCAATTAATTTAGTTCACATATTAATTGGATAAATGGGAGAAAAACCATATGATCATTTCATTTGTCAAAGAAAACCATTTAGCAAAACCTAATGTCCTTTCATGGTAAAAACACTCACAAAGCTAGGAATAGAAGGGCATTTTCTCAGCCTGATAAAGAGCATATCAAAAACTCTTAGCTAACATCATACTTAATAGTGAAAGACAGGAACAAGATTGGAACAAGACAAGGATGCCTGCTCTCACCACTTTTAGTATTGTACTAAATTTTCTAGCAAGGCAGGTAGGCAAGAAAAAGAAAAAAAGACATCCAGATTGGAAAGGAAGAGGTGAAACAGTTTCTGTTTGCAAATAAAATGACCTTACCTCTAGAACACCATAAGGAATCTCCAAAGAAACCTGTTAGAGCTAATAAACAAGTTCAGCAAGGTTGTAGGATACAAGATAGATGTACAAAAATTTCATTGTATTTTTATACACTAGCAGCGAGCGATCTGAAAATGAAATTAATAATTCAATTTATAATAGGGGTGATGAAAATATTTTGGAATTAGATACTGGCAAGGGTTGCACAATTTCATGAATATACTGAAAACCACTGAATTGTATATATTAAAAGAGTAACATTTATGGTATGTGACTTATACCTAAAATTTTTTTCTAGCTGTGTGAAAAAAGACTTGTATCCAGAATGTGTCAAAAATTCTTTTAACTCAAGTGTAAGAAAACAAAAACCCAGCACAAAAGTGGGCAAAATACTTGAATAGATACTTCTTAAGAGAATATATATGAATGGCCAACAAGTAGATGAAAAGATACTCAACATCTTTGTTCATTAGAGAAGTACCAATTAATATCACAAGTGATAATACCAAGTGTTGGCGAGGATTTGAAGTCCTAGAAGTCTTATTCACTGGAATGCAAGATAGTATAGTCAATTTGGAAAAAGGTTAGCAGTTTTTAAAAATATTAAGCATATGCTTACTGTACAACCCAGCAGTTCTGCTAAGTATCAGCCAGAAGAAATGAAAACATATGTCTACATTTAGACTTCTAAATGAATGTTCAAAATAGCCTGATTCATAGTCAAAACCTGGAAACAACCATCAACAGGTGAATGCATGAACAAAATGTGGTATATAACATGAATGAGTCTCAAAATAAGTGAAAGAGGCCAGGTACAAAAGATTACATCCTGTATGATTTTATTTACATGAAGTTTTTTAAAAAGCCAAAACTATAATAGTAGAAATATCAGTGACTGCTTGGGTCCAAAGAGCAGGGGCCAGGATTGACTGCATAGGAACGTAAGCAAATTTTAAGGCGTGATGGAATTATTCTGAAACTATTGTGGTGGTGGTTGCATGACTATACATTTACCAAAATTCGTTAAACTATACATAAAATGGTTGAATGTTATGGTATGTGGATTTATAGCTCAGTAAAGTTTTTTTTAAATGCCTTCTTTAACTATATAAATGGAAGATTTGTAACTTTATTTCTAGAGATTTGAAAATTAACATCTTTCTCAGTCTGCATATTTTTCTTTTTCATCTGCATTTCTTCTTTGTAGTATATTTCAGAATTTTGTACTTAATGTGCATAATTAGTTTGGCAGACCTTTGTTGAATGTCTGCTATGTGCCAAGTGTTAGGAGGACAGAGTTCCTACTTCCAGAGAACTCACAATCTTATGGAGAAGGCAAATTTGTTTTTAAAGTAATTAATAGGAAACATAAATGCAAGAATAGAAGTGTTGACGAGGTATGGAAGAACTAATTATATCTGAATGGAGCTGGGTGGTCTGAGGTTTCATTAAATGGTGTCAGGGAAGGCTTCCCTAGTGAGCTGGAATTTGGAGGATAATAGGAATTGATTCCGTGCACAAGGGAGAGTAGACACATTAGCTTCCTATGTGGTCTTTCAGTTAAATAAAGAGGGATTGGGGAATATATTTCTGTGTTTATAAGACTAATAAGCTTCTTTAAAAATCAACTTTTAGGATATGAGTTCTTGGTCACTGATATATCTGGTACTTTCATGAGCAAATAGAGCTTCGGATTACCTGGCTACTAACAACCCCACGCCCCTTTTTAAAACTGATTTTGTTTCACACTTATTCAAAGTCTAGGCACGTTAATTAGCACCATCTCTTGTGAATTTCGTGTTTTTACTGTTGTTCCTTATCCACACTGACAACTTACACGTTTTAAACCAGAAATACTTTTCTCTTTGCTCCAAATTAACATTTGCTTTCACAGAGTAGCTAGGTTCCATAGAACTATTAGATATGTAACGACTCTATTTAAAAAATAAATATATGAAAGAAGCAGATGACATTTAGGAGTTATATTTCAAAGAGATGTATTTTGAGGATATTTAGATATAACAGCTAGGAACCTTTTTCTCTCGTTTCTCCTACTCCCTTCATGTTTTTTCAGTTGACTCAGTTAAGAAAGTTTTATTGTCTTAAAGTAATTGATGAGGATGACCCTTAAAATCTATGTAATAGGAAATGTTCTTGATGAAATATTTTGAGAATTTTCTATTTCATGTCTAAAAGGAAGAAGAAGAATTTTCAGTTCTTGCCAGCTGCCTGGGACTTCTGCCAACATTTTACCAAACAGAACATCCATTCATCAGTGCCTCCT